TTTTAGAGACTATTAAGCTTTATTTTAATAAAATATTATTTTTCATGCCTGTACATATATATTTTAGTTAATTCTAGACACTTTCTGAAAAATTGTCCGATTCCCTATTGTAAGTCAATGAATTTGCTCCTTAAAAAAATCTATTAATCTATGGTTCTCGTTCATCATAACTGTCAAAATTTGAGACGACACACAATGGTGATAAACTTTAGGTCAACCGTAATTGTTTGAACGCCGTTTTGTTTTCTGTTGTTGAGTTTCATTTCATTTTGTGTCGAAAATAACTTGATATCTTGTGCATTTAGTGTTTTCGTCGATTTGATTTTCCTCTGCTAATTCTCTTGAATATACTTGTGTGTGTACGCGCTTATGGACGCAGTAAAAAAAGAAAAGTAGTTTACAAGTATTTCTTGTGTATTTATATGCGATATTGGACGCGGTGAGACAGTGACTCTTGTATATTTCTTTAGTTTTTTAGTTTTTTCGTGCAAAATAAAAAATAAATTTTAAAACGTATTTTAATTATTTATATAGCTCAATTAAAACTTACTATGTAAAAGACTGTGCTTATGTTCGTTTATTTTCTATGGCAGATTATTTAGAGGCAATCTATTTAACATTTCTTTTGTTATTCTTATTTTTACATTTTGTTTGTACTTTTCTTTATTTACCTAACAATTTCTCAACTTTTTGTGAATTTTTGTAACGAAATTGTACATAGCATACGATACCATATTACGATACAATCCGGACGTCACACGACCTCTTTTTTTTTGGTTCGTATCTAGTTTGCACGTTATACAATTGACATATAAAGTTAATTATGCCATGGTTACAAAAATTCAGTTCTATTCCATTCCGCGGCAATGTAAAGTCGCCTACAACGTTTACCCCACCCAATACACCACTGTTAATGCCATAAATGTGATTTAATGGCTTTTATCTACACACATATCTAAGCTTCTTGCACATATCATAAATCCTCTATTATGTGTTCAAAAACCGCAAATTACGACCAGCTTAGACTGTTTTGTTAGAACAAATTTCTTGTCTGTGAAAATGTTATTATAACTTCTTAACATCAAATTCAATTTTATTATTACATTCAAATTTCGAACATCTCTGAAAAACAAAACAATCTGATTCGACCTCTATTCTAATATCAGTCGAGATGAAGTTTTACTCGAACTGAAATATCAATAGCAAACAAATTTTGACAAATCTCACAAGTTACTTGATATTTTCTCCATCCTCTAAGCTTGATATCGAACGATATAATAGTTGGGGCCGACTCTAGTTTGTCTATGAATTTAAAAAAACTACGGTAGCGTGACATGCGCGAGAAAAGTTTTTATTTGCAAGCGTTTAGATTGTTTTGTTGATTATCACATCATAGAGAGCTTATATTATGTGTATAGATGCGGGATGGAAATAAAACGTAGAAATTAATTTGCTCACTTTTATTTTAAAAATTTGGAAAAACAACTCGCACGCAACCACCAGTATCGAGAGCCATAGCCAAAGAGAAGTCATCTGTCATCCGTCACCTCCATCCTTCCCTCTCACACTTCATCGTTCAGAAACAAATCTTTCACTCCGTTCACAATCCTACATAGATAAAGCAGTGTATGTAACTGTACACAATTCGGCATTAAAACACTCGTGTGATGTTTTCATATAACAAGCCGACAGGCGAGTTTCAAACCCACACTCGGATTTTAATGCCTTTCATTATGTAACAGTCACTTAAACTATTGTTTCTCGTGCATTTGATGAACATACACTTCTTTACATTAAACATGTAGGTAGTTTCGTGAGTAGTTAGGCTCAACTGACACCGGCGCAGAGTCGAAGCGTCGCGACGCGTCATGTTTTTCGCCTATAATATATTCAACTCTATTTCCCCATTATTAAGGTACAAATTTGTGCTTTGCAAATATGGAATCGAGTGTCGACGCGCGTCGACCCTTGGTGGCATTCGAGCGACTTCGCGCGTCACGTGGGCGCCGTCAGGCGTCAGATGCAGACCATACTGTGATCCCGGCACACTAATGCGAGTGTCGTCGCGCGTCACCAGGCGGTGTAGTTGAAAAACAGGACGCGATGCAACGCTTCGACTCTGCGCCAGTGTGAGTTGAGCCTTACGTTATTTACAAAATTAGTAGGTATCAAAATTATTTTTATTTAATAATGTACAAATACATTTCATAATCAATCGATGCCGCCCCCACAATCTCCCCCTCCGCTATCGCAGCCCCCACCCGAATCACATCCTCCTCCACTCCCTGTATCACAGTTATTACCACCTCCTTGACAGCTATTATCATTACCACCGTCATTACCATTCCCACCGCAGTTATCACCATCACCTCCGCCGCCATTGTTACCTTCACTCGTCCCGTTATCATAATACAAGCTATTATGAGACCTGTCACCATGACTTGTACTAGTCCATAACATGGCGTTGCTAGTCAGGGTGGAGTCCATATTATTTGATCTAAAATTTTGTCGCCTATAACGTTGATTTTCGCGCCTGTTTGAATTGCTAACATTTAAGGTGCCACAACAGAAATAAAATTGTAAACATTCCTTCAAAATTGTACATGGACAGCACAGAATATCTACGAAACTTGTTTTTTGCTTTTCTGCGGATGTTTGTAGTTGCGGAATGGCATAGGAATTGTATGGAGGCGGTTTATTATTCTCCGACATGACATCTTCGTAGCTTGGTGGCGCAGATGATTTTGGTGGTTCGTTTGTGTTTTCGGCCATATTGTAAGTAAACGTTGTACTTAAGATAACAATCAGACCGTAAATTAAAGATAGCAAACGAGACACGGACGTGCGTGACGCAAAGTTTTTTGAATGGCTTAGTAAAGCAATTGTCCTTTGCCTAGTAGATGATAAACCTGGAAATAAAAGAATTAGATGAATATGAATGATCGTACATAATACAAAAATTAATTATGATAAGTACGTTATACAATAATTGTTACAGATAATAAGTCATTGATAATAAAGCATAACAGAAATGGAATACAATCGTTATCCAGACTGAATGAGACACATACCTATCGACAGAAATATAGCAGTCTGCAGTTCCACTGTGTAATGCATGCAAATTCTTAAGTTACACAATAGACAAATTTAAACTGGAAAGCACAGTGTGAAAAACTGGAAAATGCTACCACACGTACCTACTTGTTTCCAGTGAGGTATGGAGGCAGACGTACTTTGCATACTTTTACTCGTATGTCCTAACGGTCATTCAAGCATATTATGGGGGAATTCAACTGAGTCGAACAAGGTACTTATTTGCTTTCCAAAAACGTGCATTATCAACTAGAGAAGGCATAAAAACCGCCAGTCCTGAAGCCTATATAAAAAAGCACCATGCGATGACGGCCTTAGAGTATTAAACCAACACACTATCATATCATATCATATCATATCATATCATATCATATCATATCATATCATATCATATCATATCATATCATATCATATCGTTTATTGCATTATGTGGTACAGTAAGGTCTTATGCATTATGTGGTACAGTAAGGTCTTAAAACTAATACATAACATGATCCAACATAAACCCTGTAAGGGCACAGCAATTTGACTTACTTCACTAGTACAATGTAGGTACACATTGTAAATTATTAATTATAATCGATGAATTTTTGCAAATTGTAAAAACAGTTCGACAGTAAAAAAACTTTTAACTTATTAACAAACGTTCCGTTTCAATATTTCGTATTATGAGGGGTATTTTATTATAAATTTAATTGTAATTTATTGCCATGTGGTGTGTACCCGAAGATACAATGTGTAAATTTGTAAATGAACCAACCAATTTATTTCTTTTCCTTAATCTAGCTTTATAAGTATCATTACTTTCTTGTTCAAATAGATGCCTATATTTTCTTATAAACTTACAAATTTCTAATATGTATATTGAGGTAAGTGTTAAAACATTCAAACTGGTAAAGTGTGGTCTACAAGTATCTGTTCCACTTATATTTACCAAAATTCGCATGCATTTCTTTTGCAGAACGAAGAGAGGGGAGATTGAGCCATTTTCGTGTCATAAATCTATAACTTCCAAGTTTTGAAAGATAATTACTTTTTCTTTATATTCTTGAATCTATGTGCTTTTAATTAATATACACATATATACATTTGTAGGTGTTAACATATTTTTAATAATATTTTTAACTTTCGCTAAAACTTAACATTTTTAAGAATAAAAAATAAATCAAAAGTAATTACAAAGGTCATATTGCAATTGAAAAACGACATAGGTCCAGATTCTGCACAAATTTGATTCAAAGTATATTCAGTAGCATGTAAGTTTATTTGAAAAGAGCACTCCCTAGAGTTCTTTCTTCTCAGGGAAGGCAGTATAGTGGACGAGCCGTAGCTTATAAAATGACGTTTTCAAGTGTAATTTATTTTACCTATGGAATAAATTATTCCTTAACTTTGACTTTGAAGAGCTATGAAAAATATATGAACAAAAAAAAATAAAAATTTAACCTGTAAAGAAAATTAACTATGTTTACTACAAATAATAAAATCAAAATAAACATCTTAAAGTAATTGTAATTAAACAATTTAATTAAATGAAAAGGTTAAAGTATTTTAAAATTCACCTAAAAGCTCCAAAGCTTAATCTAGAAGCTCTATAGATTTCTTGTTATAAGGTTTTTTAAGACTAGTTATGTAAGGATCCGTGTTACAAAAGTGTATGTGAAATGTCTTCATTAGTGGCTATTATAAAGCATTTTCTAGCATGATGAAATCTGCAACGTTTATAATCCTTGTTCCTTTACTCTTGAGCATCTTCCGATAGTTGTCCAATAGGTAACACAGAATAATGCCGAATTACACTTTCCCCGTGAATTAAGATTTTGTGCACAGATAATGGCATATAATACCACTTCTATTTCTTAACATATAGTTGTGCTGTCTCGAAAGCATACTGTCCAAATTTCGTGGTTTCAATAACTTTTCCGCTTGACATAACTTGAAGTATAACATAAAACTGTCGTATCAATCCCTCATCTACACCAGTAATTGTATTGTGTTATGTTTGTACATCATATGTACAAACATAATTTTGAAAATATCTCCCAGCTGTATTGCCATCATTAGTATTTCCACTTACTAGCTTAAGTTTATCTACATTTAAACCAAGGTCTTCTCGAAACCTCCTTTGCACATAACTTTTGTTTTTTCAAGTCTTTGTTTTCTGTTGTTGTAGCAGGCCAGTTCTCAAAGTTCAGATTGTAAAATATAGGTATGTAAAATTAGTTCCATGAATCTGATCCAACAATGTAAAGTGGAAAGACCATATTCATAGGAACTTGCGTCAACAGGTTTATTTTGTACATTTTCTAAATTATTCATCTCTGTAAGTCTTGCGCCAGAAATGGTACATACAGCGACTGATGAAGTCTCTGACAAAACTTGAGCCACTTTTCCATCAGCCATTATTAAAAATAATATATGCTTGTATACAATATCTATAACTTGTATACAATACACCATCACCATACTTGTTAATTAAGGTTGGAGTAAGAGTGACTATTTGAGCATTAATTTCAGCAACTACACTTGTAGTCTTCTCGGGTGTCTCTTTTGAAAATTCCATTAAAATCGAGTAACAAAATCTTGATGATGGACCTGGATTTTCCCACACAGTTTCATTAGTATTAATAACAACAAGTCTCCAACAAGATCTCAGACCCTGAAGGTAGGAATTTACTATAAAGTCAAGACTACAATTTTCAAGTAATTCCTTATTTTTCCATTTTTTTGTTCTCTCTGAACTATCTTCGCAGGTTTTAGAAGGTCATCCTTTTCTGTCGATGAAGAAGGTTCAGATTCACAGTGTATATGTCGTCCAACCACACACTATTTTGGCTTAAGAATAGTTCTTTTTTTCTACCAGATTTGGTGAACCGTTGACGATATTGAAAAATTAGATTTTTTTGAATACTTGCAACAATCTTTGCATTATTTGACTCCGAATATTCGTTATAATTATCGTGTATATAATTTGTGATAGAAACCATATCATTCATATCACTTTCAATTAACACGAGACATAACCCGCGTCTGGTGCAGAAAAATCAGACTCACTGCAGAAAGATGATTAGGTACACTTTTAGTAACAACAATAACAAATGAAGAAGTGTGTGTGTGTCGTGGATTCGATTCTCATAGTTGACTGGCTCTATGGTGTAGTTGTTAGTGTTAGGTTTTCTTTTTGGATGTCGTAGATTTGATTCCCATAGTCGACTGCCTCCACAGTCTAGTGGTCAGAGCGTTAGGCTTTGTTTTCGGAAGTCGTGGATTTGATTCCCATAGTAGACTGCCTCTATGGTGTAGTAGTTAGAGTGTTAGGCTTTCGTTTCGGCGGTCGTGGATTTGATTCCCATAGTCGACTGCCTCCGTGGTGTAGTGGTTAGTGTTAGGCTTTGTTTTCGGAGGTCGTGGATTT